GTCAGAGTCCTGACCACAACCCAATTGAGATGCTGTGGCATGACCTCAAGAAAGCGATTCACACCAGACATTCCAAGAATATTGCTGAACTGAAACAGTTCTGTAAAGAGGAATGGTCAAGAATTACTCCTGACCGTTGTGCACGTCTGATCTGCAACTACAGGAAACGTTTGGTTGAAGTTATTGCTGCCAAAGGAGGTTCAACCAGTTATTAAATCCAAGGGTTCACATACTTTTTCCACCTGCACTGTGAATGTTTACATGGTGTGTTCAATAAAAACATGGCAACATTTCATTCTTTGTGTGTTATTAGTTTTAAGCAGACTGTGATTGTCTATTGTTGTGACTTAGATGATGATCAGATCACATTTTATGACCAATTTGTGCAGAAATCCATAGCATTCCAAAGGGTTCACATACTTTTTCTTGCAACTGTATCAGTAGTATCTATAAATAATAATACACTCTTCAAATGTACTTTTAAAATGCATGGTTACCATTTTGTGAACAAGAATATAGTGTTATCAGGTGGGGCTAGTATAATGACGCAATGCTATGGGCCTGCTTTTATTTCCAGGGCTGGTCATTATCCCCAGTCCGGCACTAATATGGTAAAAAAGAGAAAATCTAGCGCACTCCCTTATCCACTAAACAGCGGACATATTTTTTTAGTTTTTAAAAAACACCTAATCTAGGCAAGTGTAAGGAAGTCCAGCGTCGTTTCACAGAGTTAAGCTCCATGAAAAGTCAGGAAGCGCCTCTGGTGACTGTATGGGGAAGTTTTGACCAGTTCCGCGCCCATGCTTCTATCCACCCTATTTAAATTGTAGAAAATATCTACCTACACCTCTAATAGCAGTGATAAGGGCCAAATAAATCTATATTACAATAAAAAAATAAAGAATTCTTACCATCAGATGTCTTCTTTCGTCAGCTCCACAAAAGGACAAAAACAAACATCAATAATTCCTGATACTATTATCTCTCGAGACTTGCGTGGGAATTCAGACCCACTTAATGCCCATGGGAAGGGCACAACAGGACCACTGCCAGGTTCACTTGTATTTTAGTAGTAACTGGGTAGCAATAGCTGGCAAGTATTTTTTTTTTAGTACATTGAACAGCCACTGGCTGCTCACTGTTTAGCAGACAAGCCACCAGCTATGGTATGGTGAGTGGGATCATAGGGGGTATTTTTATACTAATATGTGGCATCATATTGAGCCCCATAGGCTTTTAAAAAAAAAAAAAAAAATATTTGCCTCGGGCTGCTAGTAGAAAAATGATCAAAAAAGCATGTATCAGCTGCCTTTTGCTATCAACTTTCCTTTGGCCATTTATTGGAGATCACGACCCTCATGGCAGCGCACCCATTCTGATTTTCCCCTCCCAATTGTTGGGAGTTATGTCACTCAGCCAACTACTAGAGGTGCTTTTTACTATTTTTTAGTTCAGTGATCTTTACAGGACTGATGTACGACTTGCCTATAGAATCTATGATGAGATGCTGATTTGCAGGGTACCCCATTCTTTTCTACAGAGAAATATTGGATTGTTTGTGATTATCATTATCAACTATTTCAGCCTTGGACAGAGCAGTGTCAATTGAAAACCACTGTGACATTGAACTAAAGATAAGTTATACCTATTTATTTTATATTGGGGGCGGGGGGCTTACATCTTAAAACTCAGGAGAAAACTATAACTTCCGAAGTTGACATGCACTGTAATAGGAAAGTATATATGCGGTGTGATATATTGGATAGGATACATAGTGTAATAGTAAGGATATAATATTATGTGTAAAAGGCTAGGGCAGTTATATTTAAGATAGAATATCATTTGTAATATTTAGGATATGATAAACAGTGTAATATTTAAGATAGGACACAGTCTAATATTTAGAATAGAACACAGTGTAATATTTAGGATAGGACACACAGTGTAATATTTATAATAATATTGAAAATAGGACAGTGAGGACACTGTAATATTTATAATAATATTGAAAACAGTACACACATTGTAATATTCGGGATAGGAAACACAGTGTAATATTTATAATAATATTGAAAATAGGACACAGTGTAATATTTAGGATAGGACACACAGTGTAATATTTATAATAATATTGAAAATAGGATACGCAGTGTAATACTCAGGATAGAACACAGTGTAATTTCCAGGATAGGACACACCGTGTAATATTTAGGATAGGACACACCGTGTAATATTCAGGATAGGACACACAGTGTAATATTCATGATAGGACACACAGTGTAATATTTAGGATAGGACACACAGTGTAATATTTAGGATAGGACACACAGTGTAATATTTAGGATAGGACACACAGTGTAATATTCAGGATAGGACACACAGCGTAATATTTAGAATAGGACACACAGTAATATTTAGGATAGTATAAACACAGTGTAATATTTAGGATAGGATACACATGTTTAATATTCAGGATAGGACACACAGTGTGATATATTTAAGCTAGGACACACAGTGTAATATTTAGGATAGGACACACTGTAATATTCAGGATAGGACACAGTGT